CAACAATATCATTATCGACTCACAGAATTAGAACGACTATTAAAACTTTATCGTTATCATAATCTTTATAGTTGCTGCTCTTGGTTTCAATGGCCCTTTAGGCAGCAAAGCAAGAACTGATGTTGAAACGCCACTCACTGGACATTTCACTTTAAAAGTGTCACGAAACGTGCAAGAAGCAACATAACATTTTGCAGAAATGTCGCCACAGGCACGTTTTTCCAATAGGTCTGGGTTGTATATTATATATTTGTTATTCAACAAAAAATGGGGTAGGTCTTGATTTTATCCTTTGGAAGTGATTGGATTGTGAAAAGAAATGGACATTGCATTCCAGAATACAAGTTTGCTTAAAATGAGCTATTTGGCATCTGACTGACATAATCTGTATGGAGAAGTCAGCAGAAATGTAAACAGGGGCAATTCTGACTTCAGATTTTGACTTTACCAACATGTTGTTTCATTTGAGCTTGGTATTCCTTTACCAAACAAATCATGTTTGCTTTCAAACAACAGTAAAGGCTTCAGATGTACTAAAGTTACAGCCGAGCTGAGCTGAAGGGCACCGGGTTAAATGTGTCTACTAGTCCTCTGTGACTCAATAGTGGGCCATTTAGAGGAATAAGGAAGCGTAATGAGAGCGTGACTGTGTACAGCATGTCAACGACGTCTCAAACGACATTAAAAGTCTTTTTGACTCTGCAAAGCCACAAATGAAGCAGCTGTCTAACAAAACACCATGTGTGGTTTAACCTGCTCCAAACTCCAGCTTAAACACAACCCAGAGACGCGGACTTCATAAGCAGATCTTCATAGTGTACTTGAGGAGCTGAAACATAAACGTTTCTACCTACGCAAGGTCGAATGCTCACATTGTTATGTTCAGAAGTGTCAGATTGCAATTGATATTTCAACATAACGCAAAGTTTGCATACGGGTAGACGATGTTTCTGGCGTTAGAAAGGATGAAGAGAGTCAGATATTTGATGCTGGAAGTTTAAGTTGCATCTTTGTGTATCACATCATCCTATAAAAGTAACCAACCGCTGTTTACTTCCTGTATGCGTGCAAGCAAAATATTTCCCCAGAGTGCAATAAAATATTTAGGTATACCGAAATCTGCGTTCACCTTAGTGACCATCCCACCCGAGAGCGTTTACAGAAATCACTTCAGCTCGTGTTTATGATGCTTAACTTATTGACCTGAGACTGATAACATCTGAAAATCATTCCTTTGGTTGAAAGAGGAAGCCAGTGCTTTATTTGGATTTGACTTTATTATTTACCTGAACCTCTTTGGGAAAGCTGTGCAGCTCAAAATGGATGGTTTGTGTTCACAAAAGAGCAGGATTTGACCTTTACTTCATCCTTGAGAATGACAGAACGATGGAAAGACACTATGTCTGAGTCCAAATAGTGCACTGCCTCGCTGTTTGCTGCCTTCAAACTCAAAGCATTTTTGCAATTACATAAAATGACCATAAGTCCTCTATTTTGACACGTCCTGGCCAATGTGGCCAACAATATTATGACTATATATATATATATATATATATATTTACAACATTGATATATATCACAATATTTAACATTTAGCATTAATGGTTAAGGAAATGCTTTCCACGTGTTTATTAGACATTGAGAATGAATGTAAACAACTTGTTTGTTCACAATTAAACTCCACAGAGTTCAATTTAAGGCATCATGAAATCAGTTTTATTTTTTCCCCAAATTGTGTATTTTTCATTTTATTTTTTCTGGATTTCGTGTTTAATTTTAAGGATCAATTCTCACTATTAACTAGTTGCTCATTAGCATGCATATTACCAGCATATTTGCTGTTTAATTAGTACTTATAAAGCACATATTAATGCCTTATTTTGCATGACCATATTCTAGATCCCTTAATCTAGAATCCACCCCATATTACCTAAACTGAACAACTACCTTACTAACTATTAATAAGCAGCAAATAAGGAGTTTTTTGAGGGAAACCTCTTAATTAATATCCACTATGTGTTCCCTATTCTAAAGTGTTACTAAAATATATTGGCTTATTATTATTATTACTTTGAGAAGTGCATTTTAATATACACAATAGTAATATAAAACCAAACTTTTATTTTGGCGGTTTGTCATCAAGATCTGTGAGTTTCAGTGTATGTTTTTCTCAAACGAAACGCTGTAAAGCTGCTGAAGCGACTCTCAGAGCAGCTCTGGAGATGACGTTCATGTGTTCATGTCTCGTATATTGAGACGAGCATCACGTGTGTTTGAGTTTGTGTATCAGATGAAGCTATGGCTCACACAGAGACACGCAGACTTAAATAAACGTATGCAGTGACCGCTGCTGTCGTGTTTATTTCTGCTACTCGATTCAATCATATCCAGTAAAAATACTGCGTCATGTGCGAGACATGAACACAGTAGTCAAAGACGTCCAGCTAGTGCATGTTTACAAAGAAACAATAGAAAAGCAGTTAAGTGGAATACAAAAATGCATTCTGTATGAACAACCCTCATGAAACATCTCAAATAACTGAACTGAATAGCATGCTGCTAACAAAAAAACATGCATGCACAACTATTAGGTAAAACACTTCATCTGAACTGAATATAACCTTTTCTTCATATGTTTTTAGCACACACAAATTTTGGGCGAAATCGATCGTTTAAATCAAATGGAATATTGATCTTTTTTTTAATTTTAGAACTGATTCCTGCTGAGAAAAACAACTGAAACCAGCCTAAGATGGTTGGCTGGTTTAAGCTGGTCTTCCAGCCTGGTTACAGCTGGTTTTAGAGGATTTTTGACCATTTTTTTTAGCTGGTCTCAGGCTGGGAGACCAGCTGGCTAACCAGCTAAAACCAGCTGAACACCAGGGGCCAGTTGCATAAACTTAGCCTCTGTGTTAAAGGGGTCATATGATGCGATTTCAATTTTTCCTTTCTCTTTGGAGTGTTACAAGCTCTTGGTGCATAAAGAAGATCTGTAAAGTTGCAAAGACTAAAGTCTCAAATCTAAAGAAACATTCTTTATAAAAGTTAAGAGTCAGCCA